CATTGTCCCCGTAGCAACCTTTGGAGCAGATGTTTGGTGGCCCGGCCTCAAACGTCCGACCAAAAGGGGAATCATCACACCTCGGACTAGCATTTTCTACGAGATGATCGATAAGGCAATCCTAACGGGACTGCGTGCTGCCCTCCCGGTAATGAGAACGACACCGAATCCTGTTATCCACCGCGAAGGAGATATCCCAACAGGAAAGATCATTCTGGAAAGGAATTGACTACGGCTTTTGGCTCGGCTCCACTCACTAGACAATCGCCACCCGCTCCGGACCCGTGCTGCTGAGTGTCCAAGAGATGGAACACGGAAGTACAAGAAATATGCTCGGGTCTATAAAAATCCAGAGTTCCAGATGTCACGAGTCCAGCGGGCTTACCGACAACTCCCGGACGCGGAAAATGCCGAGCCTTTACCGCCGCCATGCTATCTTTTGGGTTTCGGCTCAAGGTTAGAGGAGGAAGAGAAGGCAACTCGGTTCATTGATAATGTACCGGCATCAGATATTTGCGCCTACCCAGATGGATCGTCGGAGGGGAATGGTCGCTCAGCATGGGGTTTCGTCTTGAAGAGGGATGGAAAAACTCTGTTGAAGCAATGTGGCATCAAGCATAGTGGTGAAGTGCTTGATGCGGAAATGATAGGGGCGAGGAAGGCCCTGGAAGCTGCGCTGGGATTGTTGGAGATGGAGAATGGGGGAAGGGACGGCAGGCAGCAGATCAATGTATTGACAGATAGTTAGTCTGCAGTGAAGGCACTGTTGACTGGAATTGCCACAACAAGCCTAGACGACGTACGCCAATTTAGGACGCTATCAAAAAAGGCTCTAGTCTCGGTGAAGTGGATACCGGCCCACTCCGGGATACAGGGAAACGAAGATGCAGATAGAGCTGCACGCTCCGGCCTCCGACAACTGCCAAGCAAAGACAGCCAGCCTGGCTCCGTCACAATGGCGTACGTTCGTCGGCTCATGAACCGGAAACGTCAAGCGCTTCTCGACGACTGGTGGGAAGAAGTATGTCCACCTGGGTATTGAAATCTGGGTCTCCTCATGCGACGACGCAAGCCACGCGAGCAGGCACTTTCCCGGCGGCTACTCCGTGAACTGATCTCAGTCCGTACGGGCCACGGAAACTTTGCGGCATGTCATCGCCGCTTCAATGCAGTGTGCGTGTGGAGAGGAAACATCACCTCGACACTTCATTCACTGTCGACTACACGTACGCCAGACGCGTCGACTACGAGAGACAATGTCACATGACGACTTTACCCACAAACTTCTCGGGCCTAAGTGCCTCGAACACTTTAAAAAATTTGCGCAGGAAACCGGCTGCTTCGGGGGCCCACCTGCGACTCCTTCTCCAGCTCTCAGCGTAGACAGTAGTAACTAGATCATGCCACGAAGCATGACGGGCGGGAGAATGAGACGAGAAGTGTCATTTTTCAACCACAAACATGAGTATGGGATTTGGAATTTTGGTTATGGGAGTTTGTACGGGCATTTATTTTCTTTATCATAACTAGCTACTTGTTGTGTAGTGAGTCACGCGGTAAGACCGAGTCGGGCATGTTGGAAGCATGATCTTGGCCGTGTGCACCGGTCCTTGACTCCTAGGAGATATTGAGCATAGCTTAGGACTAAAAAAAAAAAACTACCAAACCCTTCATCAATTCGAGACATTCGAAAATTCGAAAATTCGTTTTTTCCCTCTTTCCTCCCTTCTCGACCTCGTCGCATCCATCTCTGAATTGTGATCGAGCTCAGGCATTCTCACCATGCCTCCAGTTCGCAAAAAGCGTGCCAACACCAAGTTGGACAACACGAGAGTCCGCCCGAGGGCTCTCGAACAATCACCTGGCCTTGCCCAGTCTCCGAAATGCGCGGAGATGAGCAAGGTCTCTACTAAAGGGAAGGAAATAGTCCTCCCTGTCGTCACTGAGCCCGACACTGACATGATCGGGTCAATCGAAATTGTTGAGGAAATTCCTCAACCATCCTCCGTCCCCCACGGGATTGGAGAATCTTCCAAGCCTCTCCCGACCACCTCAAAACCGTCGGAAAACGCTATACCCAAAGCAGCGTCAACATCAACGTCGCAGCCAAAATCTGCCACGAAAGCAGAATGCCTTCCTGAGCTTCGACCAATCGTCGAGGCCGAACAACGACGCGCCGCCCAAACAGCGGCAAATCTGGCCCTCTGCTCCGCCGCCATCTCTGGCGTCGAAGCCACCCTCCTCCCTTTAACCAACGGGTCAAATAGACAATTCGTAGACTCCATGAGAGTCTACTTACGCGCCGCCATAGCGCAATACATGGCCACGGGTCCGGCCACTACGCCACCCGTCCTCCCTCCTCGCCCGGCGAACCCAACCCCAAGGGCTCCCGAAGCCAGGAGTAACACAACTCCCGCCGTCCCAGTTCTGCCTGTCAAAAGCACCTGGGCCACGGTGGCCAGAAACGGACTGCGACAGAAAGCAGTCCCAACTGCAAAGGCTGTGCCGCGACCTGCGGCCAAAGCCCCAAAGAAAGAAGCTCCCAAGGCGAAAGTCGACAAATGACTGTTCCTTCGCCTAGAAAAGGAGCACCCGTGGCGCCAGCTTTCGCCTGCTGGCCTACGGCAACTACAGAGTGAGCTAGATTGCTTCTTGAGTGACGCCTGCTCTATACACCGTGTTAGAACCGGCTTTGCGATTCTGACAGGGAATGAAAAGAAAAGGGAAGAGCTTCTAGATGCCGCACCAACGTTTTCGGACTTGGACGCCAAGCTCGAGGAAGCCTCCAACCTTATCGCCTTCCGGATCGCGAATGTTCCGGCGACCGTAAAAACAATCAACTGTATTCATACGGTCGATGCTGAGTGGATCTCATTGGAGATCTACCGAAAAACACATAAGCTTCCACACAAGGTGCTACCGCACGGGACATACCGTCCTGGAGCGCCGTACAGAAATTGGAAAGCCCTTTTCACCCGGGACAACACCCCTCGCCTGGGCTTCCGCATTCTCGACGAGGCTGGTATGGCTACCATTCACAAGCCTCGTCCACAAATTGAACAGTGCAAACGCTATTTTGGCTTCCACGCCACTCGTGGTTGCTCCCGCGCTCCAGCCTGCTGGAACTGCGGATCTAACATGCACTCGGAAGCCGAGTGCAAGGCCCTCACTTAGTGTCGCAACTGTGGGGGACCGGTGACAAAAGAGCAGCTCGCGTGGATTCGCCACATCGAACAAGGGGATTTCTCAAAGGTAGTACGAGCACGAGCAGCAGCAAAAAAGGCCGAAGAGGCGATCATCGCCGCTGCGATGGACGTCTCGATGGCCGAGGCTACAGGTTTCGGAGTGTTGGAATCTGAAAAAGAAGTTTGAGGACACAGCAACCTCGACGATGTCCCTTTTGGGGCGTCTACTAACCAATAGCAGGATACCGGCTGGATAAAAGGTACCTGCTAACTTATCTCTTGCTCTCAGCGGAGAATGAGTAAATTTGTCATTTGGAAGGTGTGACAGACGACGGAATGTGTGAGGAGCGCATCGGCTGGGTCCAACATGGAGAAATATTCTGGTTGTCGGAGTTGTTTTGATTTTTATGATTTTTCGTTTCAGTTTAATCAACTCCACTTTTGTTGTGCTCAGCTAAGGTAGCCATGGTAGGTAGCGCATGGAGAGTGAGTGTGTCATCAAGGTGCCTTGGGCATGGACAACTCACATGACATGTTTGGCGCATCTGTTTAGGCAATGCATACTGGATGAGTAAGCATGGTAGGCATATGATTCGCTGGCAAGCGAGCTGATGGGGTATAAATTGGGAGAATTTCCGACTGTAAATTAGAGCACACACATCCACAGAGTCACTTACAATTCACTCTCAATAACATCATATCTTAGCCGTGAAACGCAAGTGTACGTTCCCCATTTCATATACCAAGTAAAACAACTTTTGGTAGCAATTCATGAGATTGGAACGAGTTAGGCTGTAGGAAAAGTTACAGGGAACCCTGCCGGATCCGCCGGTCCTTGACCAAATGTGGATAAAGAGCTTTAGCTTAGGACCAAAGTAAAAAAAATAAAAAAACCCTTCATCAATTACTTCCATTAACCATCACCTGACTTATCTCTGTACTCCATAAATTTAACAAGCTTGTTAATAATAATTCCTTTTTACACTTCACTTCGATTTCCTCAGTAAAACTTGTACAAGTGCACACCAGCGTGGCTCCACTTCTTCAGAAAATACGGTGTGATAGAGTAGAATTAAAGCCTCTACCGAGCCTATGACGACTGCCAGAGAATGCAGTGTAAATTATGGCTAATTTCTCTTACGCAATTACTTGATAACATATATACTACTTTTGGTGATCTGGTGTGATGCCTCTATTACACGACCAGTTGATCAATGCACCCTTCTCCGCTAAGCCTTCACCAGAAAAGGAGGCAAAATAGCAAAATGGTGCAAGATTGAAGCGAGCACATGGGACTCAACTCATATTTATATAGAAAAATAGTATCGGGAATCTACAGCCAAAACTGCTCACATGGCTATGAATTGCCGGATCCTAATCACATGATTATTTACCGTCCTCGATGATTAAATGAAAGAGAGCTTTAGAGATAAGTCGAGAATCGGCTTTTGAAGGTAGTGATCAATAATGCTGCTGACATCAAAGGAACTACACCGTGGATCTTAGATGGATGTGGGAGAGAGAGCCATTATAAATGCACAGGAAGTCAGAATCCATTGGGGGAAAGTGACAGGGCGGGTAGCATATGAGGTTATTGTAGAGAATTTGGTTGGCTTGAATGGATGGCAATCACCTTTTACTGCGCTTCCTGAAGGAAAATAAGTCAAAGTTATTAATGGTATTTGCAAGTTTCCTTCTATTCGAATGGACTTTATAAACATCTACGTGAGCCCAAAGCATAGTAGGTCAGGATAATTGGATCAAATAAAGATCGAACCAATATTTAATAATACTTTGCTAAACAGCCTCAAGTCCTTAGACGCCGGGTACGAAGCATTCCTGTGTGGATATACCATGGTAATGGAGTCTAATAAATTTTCTATTTTGGCTTGATTCAACAAGGTAATAATAACCCCCAGCTGCGAGACATTAGTTCTTGTAGAGGCTGGAGTGGGATAAATAAGTACAGTTCCATTTCTCGCTACTGTAAAGTATTGGAAATCTCCGTGTCATTCCTTCGGAACTTTGGCAGTATTCTACAGGAAAAGATTCATGATACGACGGATAACTCCCGAGTGACATGTTCCACATATCTTTGGCAACCAAAAGAATACTATTACGACTAATTGATCCTATACCACAGCTGATATATTGATCAGCAACTGTCTGCTGCAAAAAATTAAGTCCTGCATTAATAGAAGGAATTAGAAAAGTTTTCATCTTGAATTTGAATTCTGTTAACTCTGCGAGAGCCTCGTGAGAATTTGTGCAGGTAGATGGCGTGAGAGTTTAGGTTGTGATGGTGAAGAGATTGTGCCGTCTCGAGTGTTACGAACGAGATATCGATTGGAGAGTAGAAATGAAGATCAAGTGATGTAGAGAACTGCTTTCTGATTGTAAAAGATTGTAAAAGATCGTAAATCCATGAAGACGAAGACTTGGTGAGATGGAAGTGTTGGAATCACCCAGAGCCATCCCATAGGCTTCTTATACTCAGAGGCGGTAGTAAATGCATTCTTCGGGCTGGCTCCTTAGCCAATGCATGTCACATTTTCTGGGAAGGTAGCGTATTGCTGAGTCTTGAAATTACAGTTCCATAATCCCCCAAGAAAAATATGAGGTCAAGGCTCTCCACATCTTGGTCGCAATTAAAGTTGCGGCGCTACCTCTCCTCCTGTCCAGAATCCAGTTCCGTGTTGCCAAGAACAAGCAGTTCAAAATTAGACGAAATGTTTATGGAAGATGTTGTATTCATCCATCGCAAATTGTTTACAAGCCGATTCATGACAACAAGGTTCTAGTGAACACAAACTTGAGCAAAGAATGTTGGATTATGAGGGCTCAACATCTTTCGGTGGTTTCCCAGCAAACCTCTGCTCTCACATTAAATCATGCCGAGCGGAGATGAGGAGCAAGCCTAGACAGGAGGACTTCAATTTGCGATGAGTGCAAACCAATTTTGGTATTTTTAAACTTTAACGCCGGCATGGCTCACATGACAACTCCGGCCTCTAAGTCCTCTAGAAAGCGTTTGTCGTGCCCGCACGCCATATTGCCCTCAGATATCTCTATGTTCAAATGGCGTCTAATTAAATCTCCACAGAAATTATAATATCGTGTCGCTACTTGCTGCGGCCAAGCCTATTACTTTTGCGCCTACAATAATCTCGCAACTGTTTCCACTTCAGATATCTGTGTTATATGTCAGAATTTAGAATTATTGGGGCTATCAAGTAGGCCTCGTTTTTGATACACACGTGACTACAAATTCTGTACTTAGTTTCACTTTGGTAGTTACATGAATCAATACGCTCTACAACCTCAATGACTGAGGCTTCATTATTTCTTTAATATTATATTTATTTTTAGTATTTAATTTCGTGCCTGCACACAACACGTGAGCTCCTCACGTACCGCTTAGGTCGGTTTAAGTAAGAGCAGTCGATGTAGCTAGCACGACGTTAAATAATTATAAAATAAAAAAAAGAGCAGTCGATGTGATGGCGCCTGGACAGACCCAACAATGCGGGGTGAAGAAAAAGCCGCCATAACTTCGCAGTGGTACTTGCAAATGAAATTCGAGGCATGGGTGCCTTTCCTTGATATAGATTCCTCTATTATGCACCTATCTCTGATATTGTCTCATGGCTAGATGGCTGCATACGCAATTAAAATCTGATGCAATAAAAGCGCATCTGTAAGAGAAATATATTTTACCGGGAAGTGACTAAGCGCGCCCAGAGACTAATATTACACATGGGCGGCCTTAAGTCGACGCAAGGAGTTCTTGCACTACATCCCGTAACAAGGCAAACCGTGACTTAAGAGACATCGAAAGCCAGTGGGTTGCGGAGTGCGGCAGCTAGAACTCCAGTTGGAGGACAATTTCAGCATCATAGACTTCTGCCGGGCTTCCGAGTGGGAGTGATCCTCGCGAAATCTCCTGTGAGAGCTTGATATGTGACGTTGCCCGCACCAGATCATTCTTCTATGAAAGCTCCATCTGAAAATACGAATAAGTCTCGGATGGGTCATGTAACCTGCCACTGTATGAAGGGATTTTATCCTGAGAGATTACCGACTGCCCCGATTCCCATTAGCTTTGCCTTACGCGGTGACAGCCATGGTAGGGGAATGATGTCGTGGGAAAGTTCTGGCGGATCGAGGCATTCAACTGGTGTTTCAACGTCTATGAAGAAGTCGGTAGAGGTCAGCTGTGGCAATTTGAACCGCTAGACGACTGGATTCGGGTAAGCCATATCTAAGCTGGGCCCTAGCCAACTTCTCGTAGAAGACTTGCTGATATTTTTGTTATATAGATCCTGACTGCACTCGTATCTAATCATCATCCACGCCATGCCGCACGTAGGGCCGAGAAAAGGGAAATTGATTGGTGGTAATTTGGATGGTGGAAACTGTAACACTTAACGGTGAAATATCCCTGAGAGAGGCTAATTAGGGAGATGTTTAGAAGAGCCTGAGATTTGATAATTGTCGTGAAAATAAATAAATAACTCGTATGATTAATATAGTATACTAATGACAAGCTCTGGAAATCTTGACTCAGTATTTGTTATACTAACCAGGCTATATAGGAGTAGGACGATGGATACTCTTGGGGAAGTTATGCTCACTGTAGGTCTCGTTAATCGTTATCGCGTGTGCTCTCTTGATATGTAAGACTTGAATCTATATTCTCGTATAAAGGAAACTTGGTTACAAAGAATGAACTGAGGTTGAGACCTCATTATATCTTGCTCAAAACTTAATGTGTTGTTCACAGCTTAGAGCTACACGAATTCTTCACCTTCCAGTGGTGCCGGTGAAATCGTTCGGTATGCTCTGCATATCTGGGATAGCCAAGAAGAATCGCATCCGAATCGAAGTCGAAGGCAAACATATGCATATCTCCATTTGACGACTTCTCCACCATGCAGTACTCACCATTATCTTCTGAGTCCTCAACCCCTTTCTAACCACATATCATCTCGCCTCGCCGACCGAAAAAGGCGTCACCCCAATTGCAAACAGGAGCTTGCCTCATTCATCACCGGCCATCACTCACTACGAATTTACGACGCTACCTATACCCGCAAGAAGGAAATGAAGTCATTATATACAAAGTTTTTTTTTAATTGATAGTATATTCAGCTATCTAGCTATGACACATCTGATTATTTTATATCTAAATACAAATATTTAACCCCCATTTCCTCTACTTATCTTCTAGTCTTCTCCATTTCAGCCAGCTTTGGATGCATTCATGCATCCACTGCTTTGAAGGAAGTGGAGAGTTGCTTCTTTTCCAATTTTTGTATTAAACAATATCTCTAATCTCAATGGCAATATGCCTTTAAAAGCTTCGTTTCTTTCAGTCTTAAACTTACTACAATAAAGAAGTAGGTGTTGAACAGTCTGTTTCCCCTTCCAACAAAAGTTGCAAGAGTTATCCTTCACTTTTTTAATTCGAATTAAATGGGCCCTGGTATTTCCAATCCCTGTTCTCGCTTGTTTAAATGAAGATTGTGTCATTCTACTGTAATGAATGAAGTTGTATGGCCTCATTTTTGTTATGGGTGATCTTTTCCTGGCTTGCACTTGATAAAGCCTTCCCAGTCCTTTAGCCCTTCTACCCTCTTCCTGTCTCAAGACTTGGGTCTCCCAGTCATTTTGCCAGGCTTTGAGAGTAATTTCCTTTGCCTTCTGCTTAAGGTAAGCAATTGTTGTGAATTTAAATCACGAGAAGAGGAAGTGGCAGGAAGGCAGCTCTAATGTAGAGATGAAAGAAGTAGATTGGCTATGAGGAGAGAGTATCTAGAGGCGGACAGAGACTATATGCTAACGTGCACGTACCACAAGTACTCACGCTATTGTACCTAGAGCCAGGTTGAGGCGAGGCCGTAACTATTTATCTCTTTTATGACTTTTTTCTTGGCTCCAAAATATATTTAAAGTTGGGGTCAGGGTTTATGGGGGACTGCTGCTCTAATAGGGTTATACATCTTGAGGAAGGACAGGCGGCTGAGATGTGGAGCGAGAGGGGAAGGAGGACTCTGAAGAGCATGCTGGGACTAACATTTTCGCGGAGTTTTCAACTTTGGATTTTTTGTGGGCATCAAGACTGAGATTTCGGCTAATCAGCCAGGAGGGCTTCTATTGTCGATGAGTCAACGGCACTCCCCAGCGCCCTGGACGGCACAAAAGAAGCTAGGCTAAGCTATCATACAAAAATCACGCTTTGTCAAGACTTTTCTGACATTTTAGCACGACCTTCTGGAGGAGTTGGAAGGAGGCTAGAAAGGCAGAGTGTGAATTTCCCGAGGTACACACAAGTCTGCAGCACCCAGCTGGCCGGCCTCTTCGAACGCATCAGAAGGGTCACTAAGTCTTCGGATTTAGTCCCAATGTCAGTAATAGGAGAACTCCGCACCTAGTGGTTTTTGCGATTTTTCCCGGCAGCCATACACCCGCAAATGGCCATCGTTTCGTCGGCTGGAGAGGGGAGATAATGAAGGGCAAAGGGCTCCTCTAAGTGTATGATCGAAGGAGGACTTGTGAGGGGTGGTAATGTTTGAGGGGAGCTGTATGGGAGGCATAGGAGGGGATATACTACTGGTATAGGTATCCTTAGCCTGTATGTGTGTTTTTGTTTTTAATTTTAAAGTCCTAAGCTAAAGCTCTAGGTCCACTATCGGTACAAGACTGGTGGAGCCGGTGGGGCTCTCTGCGTACAGGCCCAACTCATTCCAACCGCGGGAACCTCAACAAAAGTAGATGAAGTTAATGACAAAACTTAAATCAAAAAAAAAATATATATATATAAAAAAATATAAAATATAAAATATAAAATATAAAATATAAAATATAAAATATAAAATATAAAATATAAAATATAAAATATAAAATATAAAATATAAAATATAAAATATAAAATATAAAATATAAAATATAAAATATAAAATATAAAATATAAAATATAAAATATAAAATATAAAATATAAAATATAAAATATAAAATATAAAATATAAAATATAAAATATAAAATATAAAATATAAAATATAAAATATAAATATAAAATATAAAATATAAAATATAAAATATAAAATATAAAATATAAAATATAAAATATAAAATATAAAATATAAATATAAAATATAAAATATAAAATATAAAATATAAAATATAAAATATAAAATATAAAATATAAAATATAAAATA